GTTGATGAATCCTTAAAAATTCTGGCAAATGTTTTGAGATGGTAATCTTCCAATAAATCCAACAATAGGCCTTTGCATGTATCAACCAGTAGGTGGAGCAGACAACATAATTTATTACCCAAGAACAAGGGCAAAGGAATGAAAGTCAGTTGATTTGGAATAAAACAAATCTGCAAATGAGATTTTCTTCAAAGGAAATATGTCCTATATATGTTAGATTTAGTTTGACTGGTTACTGAATCAAAATAAATAACTTTATTAAATAATCAATCTTTGCAGAAAGATAAATTTATAAATGGAGGCAATGCTTGCATTTTAGTTTACTCAAATCAACTAAAATTAGCTTTCCTTTCAAAAAACTTTTGCAGGGACAAAGATTTTTTGATGTGTTCATTTAATAAGGACTCTAAACCCAATCCTGTTTTACAGGTGATGGGGTGCATAACAAATAGTATTTTCTGGGAAATATAATTGACTAATCCTATTATGGCTGTAGCAACAAATTAACCTTATTACTACTAGTAAATGGTGATTGATTATTTATGCAAATAAGTTACCATGTTCAGCTTTCTGATTGAAATAAACATATACAAAAGGTGCTTTAATATGACTTGAACTTTTTAATTAATAAAACCCTGAGGGGTCTATTAATTCACTCATTGCAATATTAGTTATTTACTCGTGTAATTCCTATTAGCACAAACATATTTGCTTGAATAAAGATGAGATCATTAATACCAGTAAAAATTAGTAATATCTTTTGAAACTATTTAAAGACATACAATGAATTTATATTAAAATAGGCTAAAAGCTGACTTTAAAAAAGAAAGCTGACTTTGCTATCAGTATATGAATATATCAGTATATCAGCAGAATCATTTAAAAATTATTAATGCACTAAATAACACATGGTTTCATTTACTATCTATATCTAAATTCATAAACATAATTTTGGCAATTCCTTAGCTTTTTAAAAACATTATTTGCCTGAATTAATGTTTTATTTATACTCATCTAAGGTAAACTATATCAGAATTATGAAAATTCAATGTAGAAATTAGTATTCCACAAATTATATTAATAATACCATTCCAAAAATTATTGAAACTTCCAATAAAAATAGTGTTTCTTTCTGCAAAAGTTGTTAGATTTATTTATTCCATTTAAACAGGTCAACAAAATTTTTCCTACCCTGACAGACTTATAAAAATAATTCACATTTGAATATTATTTGATAAATTTTCAAATATCTGTACATATTGAAAGTCAAACACAAGGTTTTAAAATACCATTTGCTTTTATTTTTTATTTAAGTGTATCTAATATAATTTGAAGTCAAAACTCTTGAAACAAGGAATGAAGTTGATCTAAACAAGAAATATTTTTAAATTCACAGTTAAATTCCTATATAATTGCCAAGTCATTCTGAGAAAATGAATAACAAAAATTACGTTAAGTACATTATGTCTTTCACTCTCACGTCTAGTTTAGGGAAACAATTCAAAGTTTTTGATTAAAACAGAACAAAATAGTCAATTGCATCAGCAAAATCACTAATATAAATGGTGGTTAATTTCAGTGAGACTGCTTATATAAGCTATAATGGAAAATTAGCAATTTCCTTGTATTTAAAGAAGTTGTTTGACATTAGATTGAAATTAGGCTGAATGCTCCTTGTGAATAATGATTGTATGTATATATGTATATATACTAAAGTCCTAGTACAGTATCAACACATGGTAGGTACTCAAAAATATGTCATTTGGAGTAATCAGCTGATTAGGTTGAAATTCATATCCACTATATTAAAATACTAAGGTATTGCATACATTTGTTTAGATGGAGAGAGTATGTGATTTTGACTTGAAAGAGTTTTCTAAGGCGATGAAAAGTACTGATTTAAAGCCAAGGAAAGCAAATCTGGAGGGACATAAGGAATAAAACATTTGACTTTCCAGTATCTTTCAGTCAATACAACTAATCCCTGGAAAAACGAACAAATGAGACACTAAGGTGATCTGCTATTTAACTTTATCACCAAAGATAAAATATAAAAATAAAAATCAAGATATAATCCATGTTTGTATAAATATGTAAAAATAGACTCTATTGTCATTTATAAGTGAAAAGAACAACAATAAAATATACATAATAAAAATTATCTTGCTTCCTTCTCATATCAGGACAAAGGGGAAAGCTGTTACAGTGAATGTGCCTTACCTTTTTATTTAACTAAATAATGGCTGTACAGTTTTCTAATAAATAAATAAATAAACATATAAATAAATAAATAAAAATAAAAGCCTTGGGGGGGGGGGGGACATCTCCTTAGGTTCAAATGGTTGTCCTTCTATCACTCCAGTTCCTGTGATCAAAAATTAATCTCACCATTGTATACCAGCTTTCCAGAGTCAAACTAAAATCTCTGATATTTTTATAATATTTCTCTCCTAGGGAGGTGATTTGAAGCCATAATTTCCCCCAATAATACCCTACAGTCTGTGAAATCATGTTTAAAATGAGATGGGGTGGGAGGGGGGCACCAATACAAAGACGCCAGTAGAAAGATCTCTAATTTTCATTAATAACCAAAAGAAAAAAAGGAATTTTTTTAAAAATGGTGCTTTCAACTGGTACAACAAATAGAAGAAAATGAAAGTATTGAAACTTAGCTTATCCTTGACAAGCTAAATTCCAGTAATATGATCGTGATCATTTACTGAATGCCCTCCAAGAGCCTGGCACTCTTTTAAATATATTACATTTAATCCTCATAAAATTCTTTCAAGGTGGGTTTCATTATCCCATATATGTAGAACAAAACAGAGGCTCAGAAAACTCAAGGTAATCTAATATCTCACTGTAAGTGGGAGAGCTGAGAGGCCAATTCAGCTGTCTGATTATAATGTCCAGGCTCTTTCCTTTGTACCATACTGCCTCAAAAATAATGATTTTATTAGATGCCAGTGAAGTCTGGAGACAAGGGATCACCGAACTGCAGTTTCTATACATTGGTATTACCAGTAACCTGCATACCATATAAGCAAGGAGAAAAACTGAATGCAGCATAGACAACTTGTATTTGTTGATGCACATATACCTAAAACACAATAGCAATGTTATTTGAAAATTCATTAAGGTCCATGAGTCAAGTCTTCTGGGTATACTTGAAAAAATATTTATGAAATTGGACACTCAATTTTAAAACTGAAATCAATCTTATTAAAAAGATAATGAAAATAAAGTCTCTATTGTGGTACAAGGCACATGGTAAGCACCCCATAGATATTTGCTATTATTTTTATTAGTAAAACAATCAAATTCTAATGGGCTTTCTAAATTTCAGTTTATTTTATTTATTTATTTACTTACTTATTTATCTACTTATTTAATGGTGCTGGAGATCAAACCAAAGGCCTCATGCATGCTAGGCAAGCATTCTACCACTGAGCTACACTCTCAACCCCTTATGGACTTTTAAAATTATTCCACTATACACTCAATATTTCAAAACCTTGCATTGTATAGAATGAACAAATATTTGCATTAAATCTGATTTCTCCATTTTTTCATTGCTTTCTCCACTAACCATCACAAGAATAAACAATTAGAATTCAGATTAGGAAATATACAAATATACGAAAGGGCTTGGAGTTACCAAAATTAACAACTATATTATCAAGTTTAAAGAATCAGTAGTATTAATAACCCTCTAATTTAGTCAAAGTTGAAATTATTGATAGTTGGTAGTAATACCTAATAGCAAAAACATTTGGGTACAAAGAATTTATGATTTGGATTCCCCTATACACAGTAGATCATATCAATCATACAACTACAATTTTTACATTGTTAGAGATTTTATAATAAAAAGTGAAAATATTTGCTTTTTAACTTTAAAATTATATTTAACTTATTCCTTAATTTGAGTCAAAAGACCTTGGTTTGAGTACAAGATCTATTACTACAAGTTTCATATCTGTAAATCAGCCACATAATAGCTCTGAGTTCATTTCCTTAGCTGTTAAATGAAGATAATTCAACTATATAAATCCAAGTAAATACAGGCATCATTATTAGCATTTAGACTACAAAGTAGGGCTAGAGATGCAGAAGATCCAGGTTACAAATACACAGGGCCAGTATTTACTGTTGTTGCATTTGGATACTTCTAATTATGGCATTCAGCCCTGATCTCACCCTCCACCCCCTGGGACTTGACTTGCCCACCCCTGAAGATATCTGAATATGTGAATCTGGCTAGAACTAAGACACTGGAGGAGTCAAAGGTTTATAAGAAAAAATAAAACTCAGAAACTGCTAGGTTTCTGATTAGAGCTCAAGTTACAAAATATATTCCAACCCCAAATGCATGCATTTTTTAAACCATTTTTCTCTTGGAGCAGAATATTCTACATGCAATGTATTCTTTCTTAGCAACCATGACAAAATTTGAGGTAATTTAGCTAGTATAGGAGATATATTTCTAAGTATTTCAGATACCACATTTATTTTTCCATGTGAAGATGTAATTGCTGAAACAATTTTGTTAAAAGCATCACCTGAAAACTTCCATCAAGATTTAGAAAGGGGGAGAATAGTTTCAATCTCAACATTTGCTCAATTAAAAGAGAAAACATAAAAGCCATCTCAGCTTAATAACTTGTTAGTTCCTGATCAATTCACAACACAACAATAAGCCGCTGGGAATGAGTTTTGAACGTGAGGTTATGCCCTTCGTGTTGTGTTATCACTGTGGCAGATCACACTGCTGACTTGGACTTTTCTGCCAGCTTCGCAGAGCCTGCCTCTATGAAGCAGCTGTCACAGGCGAGTCATGGTGCCTGCGCACACCTACACAGAAGCACGAAATTGAACTCGAAGTAGTGTCTTTGTGATATCTTTTCAACAAGTCATGTCCCATTCAGCCTGCTAGTTTATCTCTGTCAGGCTAGGAGCCCAAGTGGCTTACGGGAGCTGTCAGGGACAGGTAGACCAACCTGCTTTGTGCTGAGGAGGTAATGCATCTTTCGGGCTTGATAATCTCTTTGCTTCTCTTCCTTTTCGAGGTTAGCCTTCTTCTCTTCTCTTTCTTTCATCTCTGCAAACTCCTCCAGTGCCTCCCTGCATCAAAAGTGTCTGCAGTTATTTATGATACTATCTGTTAATATTTTAATTCTTTCACTGATGATAATCAAGTTTTTTGAGGGGCAACCATTATCCACATCCATCAAAATCAGCAGTGTGTCTGACCTGCATATTCTATGTGAATCTTTGCAATCTTTAGAAAGCACTAAAAAGATTAATTAAATTTTAAAATTCAAATTTCTATATGTCAAAATTAAATAGACAAGAAAATACTCAAATATACCAAGAAAGCATCTGAGATAGTGATGTTCTTTAAATTTTGGTATTATACTTAGAAATCTCAAATTATTCATTTTATACACTACCTACAGGGCCAATTTAAAAAGTGTGACAGGTTTTATACATATGTTTAATTTACTGTAACTTTACATCAGTTGACGGTTTAAATAATATCAATAAGATTACATCTATTATTGTGCATTTAAGAGATTGACATTTTATTTAATTATATAGGAAATTAGAATAAAAGATTAGTAAGTTGAAGTCTTTCTAAAGTATGACAAATTCAATTAAAATGTTGAGAATTTTCATCATTTATGTGTATATCTAGAAATCTAAAAAATATAAGCTTTTAAATATGCTATATGAAAAACATCTGCTAAAAGAATGTGATATCAAATATGGAAAAAAATTGTATTCTCATAGGACACTCAATTACTCATGTCAATGTAATATTTATAAATTGTACTTTTTTGAGAAAATAGATATATAACTGTGTTTCTGGTGCCATCAGCAAAATTTTAAACAAATCATCTTTTTCTCAAATATACCAGGGAAAAGTAGGGGAAAAAAACACTTCAAAAACAAAAGAATTCTCCTTTAATTTCTAGAAATATTTTGTTGCAATTTTCTGCTAAAGGATACTAATGTAATACTTCATACAAGGTTACTTATGAAACACTCTGACGTTTAAAAATCACCATGCTCTGCTATTGCAGCAGAGCAATTTTTTCAACATAAGATTAAATTGCAAAATAAATGAATTACTTGGAGTAGCATGGACCCCATTTTGCCACCCTTCTCTTGAAAATTGCTTATTAATATGAAAAAAGGAGTCAGAAAAATAACCTGTTTTACTTTATGCATAGTATTTTGGGGGCTTCTGTACCCACAGAGCTGGGCTAGCTGCACATTTAGATTGTGTTGGCAAGCTGGTACAATGACCTCTCTGACCTGCATCTCAAGGCTATTATTAATCGCTAAGTAACCTGGTAAAGCCAAACAAATTTGTTTCCATTGAAAGGATCTCTATCTGTGTCTGAGAATTTGTTCTGTACCAAACAAACCTCATTAACTGTGTCCATTTTTGACAAAGAACCAGGAGTTAGAGGGATTGGTGACCTTTCTTTGTCCTTAAGGTACAAATTTCAAGGCAGTTACATATGAATAAATGAGAATTTTTAACCAGGAAAAACAACAGTCATATGTTACACTAAAAAGTGAATACATTATTAATTGCAGTCTTCACTTTTAATATTCTCCAAAAATAAATATTTCTTCTATAATTCCTCTTAGAAGACTTTAAGATAATTTAGAGTAACAAGTAAACTGCTACCATTAAGATAATTACTCAGAAATGTATGTATACAATTTACTATTACTCCAAGGATAAGTACAGTAATTTTCTTAGCAATCATAAAAATAGAAAAATACATCTACAAAGAAGCTTCTTTTTGATAAATGATTTAATAAACATGAAGTGATGTTACATAAAAAATAAAATTAAAAACTTAAATGATTCAGGCACAAATAAGTACTTGTGTATAAAATCAAAACTAAGTTATTTGAAGTAGTGAAAACAGTCTATCTTCAGGATATAGAAATGTGAAATGCAAACTGTATTTAGGGGAAGGTTGCATTACTAGGAAAAATAAAACTGGGAAATATGAAAAAGAAGTCAATTTTTAGTATATAAAGAAAACTCACAGGAATCCCAGAGGAACTGGGATTTATTTCTTAAAATTTTTTTCTTAAAAATAAATTCAAGAAACTTAACAGAGCAGTAGAAAAACTAATCTTGCACATCTCAATGCACAAATTAATTCACACAATTATTGGAAAAAACAAATTCCTAGATTTCTAATTAATTCATTATAATACCTGAGAGTGTGTGGATATATTGAACAATACAATTACATTAATGCCAAATATTCCTTGTTAAATGACAAAATATAAAAAGCAGAAGAAATTACTTATCCTTAAAATACATGTTTTTGTTACAATAGCAGGGATAAAGATATAGCTCATTATATAGGATATAATAAAAAATATAATCCTGTGAATCTGGAGATTTATTTAAAATATAGTACTTAGTGGGTTGTTTACAATAATTTTTTCATTTAATTATATTTTTCACTTGTAGCCTCAAAATATTTGTGATACACACAAGGTATTGTGATATGTGTGTGTGCATATATATGCTAGCTATCCTGTTTTATATTATGGAAATATATAAAAGACTAAATAACATACCCTCAAAACAAATTGGTTAATGGCAGAGTGAAATTAAAATCCTTAGATTTGAGGATTTTCTAATATTAGATCAGGCTTTAGCCATAACCCTGATATAAGAAATCTTATGCAGATGATATTTTTATCGAATTAGCCATGCATATTTTCTTTTATCTTATGATTTTATTTTCTACTATATTATAAAACCCATAAAAGTTCCAAAACTTTCTGCATCATTTTCATATCTCTAAAGCAATTCATGATATAAATTTATGTTTTTTTTTGGTAGTGGGGAAATGAATCCCAATTCATGCTATACATGTTAAGCACACATTCTATCACTGAGCTACACTGCTACAACTCTTGTGAGTTAGTTTTAAAATAAATATAACAAATGTAATTTTTGCAAAGCTCCACATTTGAAAATATTTTGCTAATGATATTCATAGTGATGAAAATATTTGCATATTCTAATGATGATAACAACAACAAAAATAACAATAGCCACTGGGAGGCAATATAGTGGAGTAGTTAACAGCATAAACTGTGAAGTGGCTCGTGATTATAAAAGTTCTGGTGTGCTACTTGTTAACTGTTTAACTTCTGAGCTTCAGTAATCTCACCTGCAAAATGCAGATATGTTAGCATTACTATCATCCTCACCAAGTTTTTGTGAGGATCAAATCAGCAAACGTATATAAAGTACTCAGAGCAGTCATCAGTGCCTAATAAAATGCTATAAAAGTGTTAGATATTTCTTGAACATTTACCATGAACTACATACTAGACTACTTGCTGCATCTCCTGTAAGTCTTTTATCCTTTCTATAACTTTCTTGATGGTCTCCTCCTTTCTCCCTCCTTATTAGTGTGCACTTTGTGGATGAAATTCTACAATGCTTAGTATGGAATCTGGCTTTCTAAAAGGCAGGTGAGATGAGATAAACCTTGACCAGTGCAAAAGCAGAGTCAGAAGAGATCCACACAAATAAATTTCCCTTTATTCTATCCTCCACATACTACTCTGAGTGGTTTCACCTTGCAGACCTGTCAAAAACATGTGTGACTCAAGATAACACACATATCTACCAGGCCGTGTTGCATCACTATGGGATCTATGTGAAGCAGTGGCCAGGAGAGCAGCTCACCACATCATTTGGCTTGCTACAGGACCAAAGCACCCAGCTTCCCAAATTCCAGTTTTGTCACTCTCTTCCCAGAGCCTGCACCTGATAACTAAGGATCGAGAACTACTCTATAATGTCCTTACTCTGTTTTGATGGCCACTAAAATACTCGCCATCAAAAAAAAAAAAAAAAGTCAATGTGTGCTGATGTTACAAGACCTTCAAAGTAAAAATAGCCAAATAGCATGGGTTTTTTTCTGTGTTGTTATAACTTAAAAGTACTTTAGTTTATTTATTAAATGTATTAATATTTTATCTCTAACAAATGTCCACTCTAAATACAACCATATTAATTTAAACAAATAGCTAGAAAGTAAAATAAAAGTGAGAAAGACAAATCTAAAACACAAGTTAATGAGGCTGGGGTTGTAGCTCAGTGGTAGGTGCTTGCCTCACATGTATGAGGCACTGGGTTTGATTCTCAGCACCATATATAAATGAATAAAATAAAGGTGCATCAACAACTAAAAAAATTAAATTAAATACAAGTTAAAATACTAACCATAAAAAATCTAATTGTGTGCTTTTTCTGTGTGTTTTACATACAAATATATTTGGAGAGTGATAAAATCGTTCAATATATTATCTGAAAACCTTACCAGTTTGAAAACATTTAGAAAGTCCTCTCATTTAAAAAAGCAAACAAAAACTTTTCAGTTATACTTGAAAGTCCTATTTATAATAGTACAGATAAATTTCTCTTAAAAATGCCTATGTTACTATAAAAAATCATGTTATGATATATTCCTAAATATTTTTAGGCTATTGTGAATGGAATTGCTTTCTTGATTTCTTTCTCAGCAAATTCATTATTGGAGTATAAGAAATCTATTGATTTTCAATGTTGATTTGTATCCTACTTTGTTGAATTTGTTTATTAGTTCTAGAAGTCTTCTGGTGTAGTATTTTGGATCTTTTAATTACAAAATCATGTCAGCAGCAAACTCAGATAATTCAAGGACTTCTTTTCCTATTTATATTCCTTTAAGTTCCTTCCATTGTCTGATTGCATTAGCTAAAGTTTCAAGAACTATATTGAAGAACAGTGGTGAGAGTAGCATTCTTGTCTTCTTTCTGATTTTAGAGGAAATGCTTTCAGTTTTTCTCTGTTCAGTGTGATGTAGGCTTGGGATTTGTCTTGGGAAGAAATCTAACTAAGGAGCTTAAAAAAAACTCTAGAGTGAAAATTATAGAATACTGAAGAGAGATCTTAGAAAATGGAAAGACCCATGCTTTCGGATAGGCAGAACAAGTATTGTCAAAATGGCTATTTTACCAAAAGCAATATACAAATTCAGTGAAATGCCCATCAAAATATCAATAACATTCTTCACAGAGCT